CATAAGAATCCAGTATTCCAGTCAAAGCATTGAAAAATCCTTAGGTAAACGCAGTGGAAGTGCATAGAGGATACATTATACATGTACATTTATTGCATGATATTGAAGGAAATATGAACTGACAGATATATTTACCCAAGAAATATCATATTCCCAGAGGGCTTCACCCCAGGGGAATATGATATTTCTTGGCTGCATGAATATATCTTCATGTTTCCAGAACATTAATGCAATGAATTGTTTATTATACTGACACAAGTAAAAACTTTGAAATAAACATAAACTTTCAAAGAGCTACAGCCACGAAGTACCAAAATATGCCCTGTCCCCAAAATAAATGAAATTTTACTCTGTGATAGGTTAGACTTTGTGGGGTATAGCACAATTTATTTTTTAGTGATATCTTTTCCAGTTTTCTTTTTATAGTCGTTTGAAAATGGTATTGTTTCAAGTAAAATCTACATGCATAACGTCATGACTTTTGACGTTATATATACACATGTATATTGTAACGGTATGACGTTAACGTTATTAAAATGAAGGTAATATATCTACATTATTGGAATCAATTAGACTAAAATAAACCCCACCTAACAATTTTTATCATAGGACCGTTAAAAAGTTTGAATCATGAGATAAATACATGTAGCTAGCTAGTTTTTGCTTTGATTAAAAGTGTCTAAATGCTGTTAATATTTCTATTGTCCTGTTAAATCAAAACAACTTTTTAAAATGATACATTAAGGGAAAATAGGGGATAATTATTCACGGTTTAAATACATGTATTAGCTGTATCCACAGTATTGATTAATCCGTCAAGTCACGAAAAATTGAATATTAAGTGTTCGGTTTTTTTTTTGGGGGGGGGGGGGGTTATAGTATAGACAACAGAAGGCTGTTTTAAATAGCCGTTGCTACTTGTGTGATCATTCAAAACTCACGGGCCGTGCGTAATTAACATTACCATGTGTATCAACATGTATTTGTTGCCTATCATGCGTAATTGTATGGACATTTTGTTTAAAATTATCCCTCGGACTTGCTGTAACATATGGAAGGATATAATTTTGCCGACGTACATTCACATGTTTTTTATCGTCAAGTGTTATCCCTTCGGTAGAAGCTCTAGGGTAGTGTACATTGCTACGCATACTGGAAATTCATTCGAGATTCATAGCCAAAGACGTTTGACGGCACTTGTTTTGATAAACTGTAAATTAATTACCAAATCTATAACCACTTTATTTAAATCTCTTTAAACGGCAACAGATGAATAGGCTGCTGAACAACTAATTTTTTCCAGGGCGAAAAAATAAACAGCCCAGAAATCTCTTCTCATGCAAAAAAAAAAAAAAAGCAAACAAACAAAACAAATCAACAGCAAACCCCCCAAATAAACAAAATAAACCTACATAAACTCCTTTCCCATGATTCGGATTGTTTCCCCAACTTTCGTCTCAAGTTGATTCCGCATACAGCTCTTTCCTCCAATTTTGAATGGGAGAGTATGGGCATTTTACATTTAGCAGTTGCGTGGTTTGCGACGATGATTGTGTTTCCCATACCAATAAAACCATGACTTTTTATACAAACTCAACACAGATTCCAGGGTTTTAGTTTCATCTAGGAGGGATCCAAGGTCACTTTTACTTAGTTTAGTATAGGTATTTAAAACTCTGCAAATCCCAGTCTCTTCATTTAGATCCGCGCATGGATGAATACCGGTTATACAGACAAAGGAGGTAACGTTTATAACTTACCAATTCAACGAATTCCCATCAAATCGCTATCATCTCGGCCTCGATAGAGAAAAAAAATGTGAAAATAACACATCCTAAATACCAAGCTAGCATATTTTAAAATTATGATCTATGAAGGCAACGAAATAACATGCACGATGATTTTCACTATATAATCTGGGACACCCCATGTATTAAATAACTGCTGTCATTTTATATAATGTTTGATACCCCTTTTGATCGGAAACTGGAATATGTACGTCTATTCAAGTGTAGATCAAGGCCAGTTATATGTTATGCAGTTTAAGATCTATATTATATTTTTTAACAATAAAGAAGATTAAAGATCACCCCCGCTGTTGTGATATGGAAAGCTATCGACCATTTTGCAACAATTACAAAATCAATGTTGCTATGCAGCCGGGAATATTTTTACAATTATAGAATAAAGAAAATAAATTACCCTACCCTGTTGATTTATGTTTGTATTTATGAATGAAACCTCCCCCCCCCCCCCCCTCCAACGCTATCAAATAGATTTATTTCACTTCGTCAGTTTTTCACTTGTAAAAATTGATTTTTTTTTTCGATTGTGTATGTAGGTATAATTTCTCTAGATTTGCCCTTGCATCTACCTCCAACTAACTGACGACCTGTAGCATAGATTACTTACGAAATATTTGGAACATCTACAAGTAAATATTTAAAGCACATTGAAAACGGGGCGTTGCGAAAATATTTTATAAACACTGAATTCTAAGACACACCAATACACTGACATATTTCTGTATTTAATATTTGTACCAAATGTAATTATAATTATCTAAAATATATATTGATGAAAATATCAATATACAGTATACATATGTACATACATCGATGTCCTCGGTGCGAAGCTACGCACTGCATCATTAATTGATTTTTGCTTTTGAAGCAATATGAAAATTTACTTTTCTACACCTGCATAAAATTATCTCAGAAGATTTTGTTTAAAAGTAAAATAAATCGATGGCTGATATACATATGTAAATTGCGGCTATAATATGTAACAGTGCTGACTCTACCTCTCTAATATTATAAGGAACTTGAAATTGACATATACTCATCCAAGTTCAAGATTTTGTTAAGTGGAATTGAGAATGTCAAATCCTTAATTTCGTACATTATTTCTTTTTTATTCATATTTTAGCAGCAAGCTAGCACAATATTATTTTGCTTATATTACGAAGGGCAGACGTGATTATGATATTCCTTGTTTTCACAGTGATGTGGATCCAGAAAGGGGAGGGAGGTCCGTTCTTTCAATTTGTTAATAGTGTACAGCTTTAAAACGAAAACAGGCGATTGAAAGGGGGTGAAATTGGAGATAATAGAAATAAACCTCTTTTAATACATGTGATTTAATGATATCGAGTAAAGTTTAAGTGATTAATCTTGAAAACAATAAATTACCATCTAAAGTAATTACAGTCTTTATGACGTCACAATTGACGTATATGTATTTCTTTTAACGTCATGTTCAAAGACTGACGAAGAGAAATGTAACTTATATGTTTTTTGAGTTTGAATGCAGATAATATAAATCGAAGATCATGCCTCTTCACATATTTCGTTACAAACGAACTACTGACTATTTTTTTAATATATTGTGTGTGATTTTTATACAAGTATTGTTATTTAAACCAAATATTACCGAATGTTTAACAAAACTGGCGAATCTTTGCGACATCAAAATTTAAATGTAAAGGCATATTTCATATTGGCCACACGTATGAACAACGATTATATTAGGCGTGTAGATTCGTATCAGCAATATTTATAAATATGGTAAGTATGAAAGTTGTTCTTGACTGTGGCCACACTTAATTTTGGGAAAATCTGTCGAAAAATCGGCATTTTTTAACGTTTTTATGAAACCGTCGCATCTTCAAACCATCGCACGTGCCAAACAGCGCATTATTAAATAAAATGAGTTACATAAGGAAAAGAAGTATGTTGTCCTCTAATAATTAACGTATAATACCATCCATGAATAGAAACTCGATTTTTGTGAAAAACACAGGGCCAAATATGATGGTTCGTGGCTTTACCTCTTTGGCAACGCTCTTAAATTAACTTTCATTTTTAACGTATAAAGTTACTGAAACCCTTTGACACATCACTAATCAGAAATTTTGTGATGTAAACCAGGCTATTGTGACGTCTGCTACTCTAGGGAGTTTTCTTTCAACAAATGATAACTATTGCGGGAAAATGCACCAGATATCCAAAGAGGTGGAATATGATGAAAAGCATGCCGATGACTATGAAATATGAAGTTTTATGCCGATCATGTGATAATCTAGAATCAATCAAATAATACATTGTGTAGAATAATCATAATGAGGTATAATAATACCTAGTACTATGATAACACCAAGAGCGATAATTACGTCAGGCCAAAACTCTCTGAGTAAGTGTAATAAATAAAATTTGTGTAAAAAAATATCCTACAAGCCCCAGGGGAGAGGAGGGGGGTACCTATGTTAAAATATATATCAAGTTTGCTCTGTGCACTTGTGAAAACTAATAAAAAAAATTCTAGCTAACATATTGATTTCAATATTTAATATATATATCAAACAAACAGAAACATGATCTTAAAATAATCTCTTTAGATTTTTTTTTTTTGGGGGGGGGGGGGGGGGGGGCTTTTTTTTCAACACAGGGATCTCAATTGATTACATGATTATATTCTAAATTAGACCTATTTATTTATTTGTTATACTATTTTAATTACACATTTAAATAAAAATATTTCAATTTCATTTGGATATAAGTTTTTCAAGAATAAATAATAAGCATGATAAATAGATCTCAAATAATTTAATAGGATTCAAAATAATCATTCATATTTCACAAACGAGTCCACAGAATTAATTGGTTCACATAACTGTTATAGAATTCAGAAAGTAGCTGCAACCTAACCCCATAAGGCCATCTTCTAAAAAAAAATGTTTTTTACCCCCTATCAACTGACTAAAAATGATTCAACTCGATTTTTTTTAACATCAAGGAAACGATTATATATATATATATATATATTTTTTTTTTTACTTTTCCATTGAATTTTCTAAACCTGTAAACAAGTATGTTGAAATTTTCTGAAGAAAAAAATTTCCATCAACCTACCAACCCAATCTTTTAATACTCTCTCAGGAGAGCTGGCAAATAAACATTTTTTTAAAGTAATTGGCCTAAGCAAAGTGTCATTTAGCTTACCAGTATGACTTCCGTGGAGTAGCCGAGCCTCTCGGCTAACATTCTCCAGTTGTTGCCGTTAAGTCCGGTATCCGGGTCTAACTTGTTAGCCAGCTGGGTCCAGACCTCATAGCCGACAAAACGAAACGGGATCTCCTTCATCTCCGTCTGCAATCAAAAAATACATTGAAAGAAAAGATCTATACTCCGTCCAACATAATGGAAGTCAAAATAAAAAGTCTTCTCTCAAATAACAAAAAACTACTTATTCAAGCATATGACAACCCAACTTAACCAAAGCAAGACACACTCTATTTACAATCTTGAATTCAGACAGATATTTTTCAGAACTTTTAAATCTATACTAAGGATATTTATATTAAATAGTTGTATTAATTGAGTCATTGTCCTATAAAAACAAAGAAATTAAATAATGAACCATTTCTTCATGGAAATCCTGCCTTCTCGTAAGAGGTCGAAGCACGCAGTGCCTAGAATCTATGATACAGTTTATTTATATATATACGCATTCATTACGAGTAATTTCTTAAAGGTCAATGTGTAAAGACATAACTTCACAGTTAAATAGTCTGCTAGGGAGCCAGAGAAGGGTGAGTTGAGTATATAGGATTGTGAATGAACAGACTATAGGGACTAACCGTGAAATACTTAGTGGGGGAATATTTACAATTTGAGGGCGATGGTCTTAAAATACTGTGTATTACTGTGGTACTGTGTTAAATCTCGTCTGTCTAGATACAAATTTCATTTCACTTATCAGTCATTACACTACTACTGATTCCAATTATTAAGCAATTTACATAAAAATTCTAATTTGATTTTTTTATGCCCCTGTAATCATTTTTGCACTGTCCGTCCGCCTGTCTGTTTGTCCACAAAAATTTTAACCTTGCCTGTACCTTTTGACTGGGTGGGGCTATGTCTTATCTATATTTCACAGGTGTATTCCTTGTGACAAGACCTTTCTTTGGATACCACCAAATTTGACCTCTTGACCTTGATTTTTGAGTTTGACCAACTTTTTAGTTTTACAAAAAGATACCAAACTGTAACCTTGGACATAACTTTTTTTTGGTGCCAGGGCTTTCATACTTCACATGTGTATTCAATGTGACAAGACTTTTCAATTGGTATAAATATTTTTGACCTACACCTTAGAGTTTGACCCACTTTGTAAAAACTTGAACCTTGAACTTTAACTTTTGAAGATATTACATGGGCTTTTATATTTCACAGGTGTATTCATAGTGAAAAGACATTCCTCTTTATACCAACAATTTTGACCTTGACCTTTGAGGCTAATTGGCCACATCTCTCAAGTGAGCACATTGGATAGAAACAAGCAGAAAATCTTGCACTGTAAATTGCACCTTATTTGCATTATAGGATCTGTAGCATTTTAGTCTTGACTAATATATAAATTAAACTGTAACACTGTAGTTCTGCAACTAGGTTCTACCTCAAAACATAATTTCTATCATCAGTGACACATGAAAATTTAGAAAAGCTTTTTGACTTGTTTAAAAATGCCAATTGTATTTTTTTTTATTACCAGTTTGTTACATATGGTGTAGGCTAGCTCTTGATTATTTGTAACTATGTTTGAGTTAATTTGACTGTTTGTAAAATGAATCTAAAAATATCAAATTTGACTATCCTAAAACTTCACGAAATTTTCCAAATGTAAACGTAATCATATGTTCCTGAAATAGTGAAATAGGTAGGAATCCCATATAATACTGATGGAAATACTAAGAGATTATGATACAGATTTTCCTGCATGTACATTTCACTACTGTTACAATGCCAAAATGCATTAAAGAAGAGACATGTTAGAATGGATTATTATTGATTACACACTCCATCAGTCCATGTACTCTAAATAATATCTTTGAGCTGTTAAAAGGGTTGTATTTGTCAAGAGAGAAATTAGTTTAGTAAACAAAGCTCTGCCTGTGGTGGAGTTGTTAAAACTACAGCAAACATAACAAATGGCAACGTTCAGATGAAGACATAAATCAACTGAAGTGACCTGCATACAGATTACATAGCATTGTGTAACTGACGAGAAAAACCAAGTCTCCATCATTTCACCTGACATTGAACTTGACAGCTGCTTGGCTTAAATACTAACAAAATAATAATCATATATGCACATAAATAAATCAATAACAAAATTACATTGTATAATGTAAGGACTCTTCAATCAGAAATCCTCAGAGACCAAAATCCGTTTCATTTCAGTCTATTTTGCTGCAGCCATTTTTATTTTGAAGTATGGTGAGCCACACGGACAAACAAATAAAACTTGCATCCCGATCCCGATCACATTTCTATTTTTTTTTTTTTATGTTAAACAAAAAGCAGGTAAAAATAGCTACTCTGGGTAGGTTTAAAGACCTAATAGGTACGTAGGTAGCAATAGTCTTTGGACTCGACTTGAACTAAGTAGAGTGCCATTGTCTGTATCTAATATGTAACATGTTGACGGTGCGACCGTTAGAGCGAGCGCAAACTCTTCTAATATTGTTTTAATTTAAATCGGGCTCGTCAAATGTTATATGAATTAGTATACGTCACATGACGTCGTAGAACATTTTCCAGTGCTGAAAGTTAATGAAAAAAGTTACGTTTACTACTTCTCTTCAATATGTATCCAATTAATCAAGGCGATAAAACTTTTTATTCAGTAATGCAACTTTACAAAAATGCATTGTAGAAAGGTTAAAATTGCAAAAAACTTTTAAAGAATGAATTTAAATAAATATTTTCTAATTCTTGTGTGTTAATTATAGCATTACTACAAAACAAACTTTGGTGCGAAAAATCGCTATAAATGCAGGCTAGGATGGTTGGCTTTTGGCAGAGACATATAAAACCATGGTTTTATATGTCTCTGCTTTTGGCAAAGAATTATTTCTGGAAAAAATGCAAAGATTTCTCAAATGTTATATGAAATTATGTATAATCTTCGTACAGAGAACATTTTACATTTTAAGTGGTTGTCACACGTCAGTAGTGTACAGATAAAATATGGTCTACCGTCTTGGAAATTAGTGAATGATCAATTCATTCCAAAAAATGTCTGCATATCTAGAAAGGTTAAAGATCAAAGAAACTTTTAAATATCCGACTGGAATTTAAATAAATATTTTTAATTCTCTTGTGTGTTAATTATAGGATCTACAAAACAAACTTTGGTGCAGAAAAATATTTTTCTTTGTTACCATGGTTACCCTATGATAACTATATTTTTAATTGCAATTTTTTCAATGATGAAAGAAGAAAGTACATACCTGAAAAAGTTAAAAATATTAATAGTTTTGTTAATTTGTTTATTAATGATGATAAATTTACCTTGATTAGGTTATCTAAATTTAGTAAAAACGTAGTGTCTTTATTTCACTCTTGAACTCCTTCCAATACCTCAAAATTAATATTGTATAGATCTAAATGTTAATCCTTTGTTCATATGTGTTACCTTTTCATTACTGATCTATTTCTTGCTTGTACTTTTATGCCTCATGTGAGGCCATAAAGTGAAATAATTTAATGTTTCAAAATGTTTCAAATTTTTTCTCCCGTAACCAATCGGTCAAAACTTTTTGTATTTTATTCTATCATTTACATTTACATGAGTACTTTACCATACAGTGAATGTAAAAATAATAAAATTTGAAATATACAGAGCATATTTTAAAAAAATTCCTTAAAAAATGAAGAAAAACAAAGGAGATTCGGGTTACCTCTTGACCTTTTGTTTTATCAAAATTTTATGTTTTATATTTTTACATTTCATGTAAAAAGAAAAAAAAAAATAATCTTTTAAATTAAAAATAAGCATAACATGAATGGCAACAATACTTTTTTTATTCTTGGTGACAAGGAAAGAGAAGGATCTTGACATGACCTTGACCATTCAATGAAACGGTCAAATATAATTTAATTGATGTCATCACTTAAGAGAATCTGTAAAAATTTTATTAATTTTTTAATATGATAAACACAAGAGTCATCCCTCCTTAAAAGATTAAAACTATTACACGTATACATTTCATTTTTAAGCCTCTGGCGCAGCTATATAAAAGAGGCGGGACCTAATTTATACGGATAAAGAAAGTACCTACCTATACAGTGTGTTGTTAATTTAAGAAAACGTCGTCGATATATGCGAAAGGCCACAGCAAGTATTTTCTTCTTGTCATGTATAAGATTTTGAATAATTTCTGCTTGTTTATGTGAATACAAAAATAGGTCTGCTAATAATGGGGCCCATTTGATACCCACGGGAAATCCGACAAATTGTTAGAAGACGAACTCCAAAAACTACAAAGATTTTGTCAATCAGAAACTCGGAACTCGAGTATATACTTAGTATCTTTTTAATATAAACATTTTTTTTACAGCAGACTACTTGTGTGTACAATCATGGTGTTCTTTTTCTTTTAAATTATTTTTATTATTTAACCAAGTTTATTTTGCAAATGACCAATGACAAGGTCAGTAAATTTACAAGTTCCATATCTATTGAAAACTAGAGGTACTGTGAGCAATGAGCTCACTAAATGATACCCCCCGCCTCCCATAATGTCGATGTGTTGCTATATATTGTTTTACGGTAATGTGTAAAGAGGAATAACTCGTCCTATCAAATGTTATCCAGAAGCTTCTATTATGTGACGTCATAGGTAAACAAAAAATGGCAATGTCCATGTTTTGCTCTGGGAAACCTAAAATACGTGTCGAATAAAAAAGTAAAATAGGAGGTGCACGATGGCAATATGTAATAAAGATTCTGTGAAAGTTTCATTAAATTTCACTCAGTAGTATATGAAGTTGCGGAAAAGAAAAAGCGTAACAGACACGGACGGACGTACAGTACGGAAATCCCGATCACTATATACCCTCCCGCTTTTCAAGCGGGGGGTATAAAAACAACAACTGTAACTGATGTCAGAAAGCCTGAACTTTAATTTATCCTGGGTAAGGGTCGTATAATGCTTGAACCTTCTCCTTCACTGCTGTTAATATTATAGTTTAAATACTTGTAACTAAGTGAAGAAAGTTTTGTTTTTGTTTTTGTGTTTTTTTTTAATACATTTACTAGATTTTGTTTGAAAGGGGGTTTTGTGAAGTTTTGGAATCTAGTATAGGTATGGTATTTAAAAATTCAGTTTATGTTTTAAAAAAAATTAAGATGGACTACCACTTGAATTAAAACATGTAAACCCAGTTTCTCCAAAATACATCAAAATGCCCACACACAATAAAATATGGAAATAAGGAACAATATTCAGCCTCAAAGTTTATTCAAAAAAACAAATCGGGAGCGGGAAGAGCAAAAAATTCAGGACCTCCAAAACAGTACAGATGGGACCAAGTGCCGTGGAGTATTGGAGTAAGCATTCTCTGCCGACAGGTCGGCCGGTCGACCGGCCAAATGCTCCTTATCAAGATCATATTAAAATAGTATGAAAATTTTCTGTCAGCATTTGACCTTTAGAATAATTGCATTAATTGCTGACATGGTCATCGACATAGAACTTGCGAAATGATGACTTCAAACGAGAGACTTAAAAGCTCAAATACAATGTTGTTACCCGCTTTAACTTAGAGCAGATTTCAAAACCCCTAAAGGATTGCATTGTTTGTGACGAGCTGACGCTTTGCTTGTCGAGAACTTTAAATTCTACGTCACATTCTCGCCACATCAAAGAAAGTAACCGAGATCGCGTCTCTCCCACGCTAAAGTCGGTCAGCTGCAACATACAGCTTGTTTTTCGGGGTTCAAAGAATCAGGAGTAGACAGTCCCGATGTTGTTTTCTTGAATGTAACCTGCACAGTTAAAAGGTTTTTTTTTAACCTTGAATTTTAAAAAAGGTTTTTTAAACCTTGAATTTAAAAATTAAAGATTTTTTCACTCCATTACGAATATTTAAATTGGTCGATTATTTTATTCTGTTATAGCGAAATTTACTTTTTTTCATATTTGCGTACAAGTAAAAAAGTCGAGTAGTGCATGATTCATTGATCATTGGGTTTATTAGTTACGCGTATCAGCCCAAGTCATGCATGCTGAGATTGTTGCAATTTGGTACAAAATATACTTGTGAAAAATGGAGACCCTCTTTATGCGTATATTCGAGAGAAAAGATAAAGAGGGAAGGCCGGGAAGACGTGTCCATTTACCTTCAAATTTTATCGATCGAAGTTCAATTTATTTTTAAGTTTTAACGAATGTTGTATGTACAGGGTAATTATTACCAAATGACAGAAAATATCTATCATTGGCGTCGGAAGCAAATTAAAGAGGGAGGCTAAGGGTAAGAAAATTTTTTTAGACCTCCCAAAAAAACCCGAGAAGCAGAAAAAACAAACAAAATAAAAAAAAAACAAAAAAAAAAACAAAAAAAACAAGGGATCTGTATTTTCCAAACACGAAAATCATATTTGTGCGTATACATATACTTATGCAGCAATGTTCAATGTCTATACTAAGTCTAACTTATGAAAAAAGGGGGTAGGGGTAAGCCCCCCCCCCCCCCCCCCGGTTCCGACGCCTATGTCTTTAAAGCCAAAATCTTATTACACATGCATTTTCTGATTCATAGAGATGGACATGGTAGATTTTGAAAACAAATAGACTGTTCTCGAAAAAAAAAATAAATACTAGTAATCTATCCTCGACTAGCAAGAAAATAAATAAGCTGTCCTTGGATAGTACTCCCAACCCCCAATCCCCACTCGAAACGGAGTTTTTCTTTATCCTTGGCTTGTCGAACTTTTTTTCAAATGCAAAAAAAGTTATCCGTCCCTGACTTACATGATGATATGAAAAAAATCTGAAACGAATTTCACCAACCCCTCTCCTGGGCGCCCCATTACTCACACAGTGTATGTACATTCATTTTCAGAAGGTACATGTACATGTATATATATTATATACATGTAGGCAGCTGCTGTAACAATGAACAATCGTCTCTAACTCCTTTTTTTCTTTCACTTTTCCAACTTATCTCATGTAATAATTGACTTTTTAAAACCACCATTTATTCCAGATACTTAATTTAATTATTTCAAAGTGGATTGAAGAAATACTTAGTAGATGGAAAGGAAAATCCGAAAACGACTCAAAAATGTAGAATAATGGTTATCATCATTATAAATAGAAAATTTCAAAGAACTCAAAATTAAGAATTGGGCAGGGAAGAGGTTTTTCCTCTCATATTTGTCAATATTTTTGCGATATATGTATTTGAAGGGAAAAACCGA